TGGGGCCTCTTACAAAAACCGACTAATTCCTGCACAGCCAACTAAAAATATTCTTTAATTGTTGTTTTCATGTGATATACATCCTGCGTTATGTTCAGTCTCTCTAATGGAGTTTGATTTATTATCCTGAGTCTCATAGTCCATTCAATAGGCCAGAGCAATTAAGGATTACCGTTCAATTCAGTGATTTTCAATTTTTCCAATCATTAATTTTTTTACTACTTTTTCTAATCATTAATTTTTTTTTCTACTTCCCTCCCCTCTAACTCTCTCAGGTTCCAAAGGACCAAGAGCACAAACCAGCCCTAGATTTCTGGTTGTCACCTGGCAATACTCTAGCACCAGGGAGGAGCTAGAATGACACTTCTCAAAATCTCTTTCCAGCAACGTTTCAGAATAGATTCTTCCCATAACATGTTTTTGTACGAGATCCAGGAGGCGGAAGGGAAGCAGGGGCTGTACTTCTCCCACTCAACACAGATGGACTGAAGAATGTGGGGTTTTGTACCTGGTGGTCAGGTGTCCTGGATAGCCACCCTGATTTTGCCCCAGAGAGTTGACACTTGGGTGGAAATCTTAATTTCCATGAGGATTAACTGTACTTCCAGATTTCCTCAAAGTGGCCCTCAGTTCTTCTCTTTTGTCACTAATGCCTGTGAATACCTCTAATTCCTTGTATGAAACTTTTATCCTAAATACCATGAGTGGCTTCTGTGTTCTTAACCAGACCCTGCTCAAGTAATACCACTGAATGTTAAAAATCCTCCTGTTTCCTTCTCAAGCTCTAGGACCAGAGCTGTAGATTATGCCTACATTTTAAAATGAGATGCTGGGTCTTCTGGGACCCATTCTGAAGGACAGGGGTGAAGATGTTAGGGACCTCAGTGACTTGAGGGAGCACAGGTGTTGGAACGGGAGAGCTGGAGAAAGGAAGGCTTGCAGGGGGGTGGGCTGACGAACTAAGCTTCCTTCTACTCCCACGAGGAAGGGTGCGCATCATTTTTCAAACCTAAGTACCCCACAGAGCTTCTTAGCTATCCTCACCGGTCAGCCTAAAGAAAACTACTGAGGCAACACAAGTCTAACTTCTCGTGTACACATGTGTGAACACAGGCATGCTCATCTAACAGTAACTACACATTTCAGCATAAAAATGCAACATGCGTTGCATACATGTACCACCTCCCCAACATGGGTGTGATCAATATGTGCTGCACACATGTACTAAGAAAAAAATATGTGAGGGGTAAGTAACCACACAGCAGGAAGGAGGAGTGGATGCAGCTTTGCTCTGTTGTATTTCTACTCTGAGCTATGCACTCTCTTATCAAGACACTGGCTGTCTTTTTACTGCCGTAGAACTTTCTTGTTTTCCTCTCTACTTATTTGATGTTTTGAGCTTATAACCATAACTTCAATTGATTGATAGTTAACTACTAAGATACATCTTAGTTTGCTTTATAAACTTACCTTGGAAAGATAACTCTTTTTGATTCTAAATATGCCTCAAGACACTTTTGAATTTGATCAAGCAATGCATTATTGTTTTGAAAAGTCTCCAGAAGCCCTGTTGATATGAAAAAAAAGATTCATAAGACTGTATTAAAATAGAGAATACAATTTTCAGTGAAAGTAAAAAATAATATTAAATTAATATTTTAGAAGCTTTAGCTGGGTGTGGTGGTACATGTCTATAATTCCAGCGCTTGTGAGACTGAGGCAGAAGAATCGCTGTGAGCTCAAGGCCAGTCTAGGATA